AAGCAAGTATTTATAAATCTTTCCGTTACATAATGTAGTGGCGTTGAATCAGTCAGCAATTTACCATAAAATAGTCCCTGTTATTTGAGTTATTAGTCCCATAAGGTGACTATTATCGATATTTCCGAATGAATGAGTCGAATTAATTTCCCCTCAGATCGATACTATGTGAGGCTCGCGCTCGAACTGGGGCCGACTTTGTTATGCAAATTTGTATTTGAACAGCGCGCAAACTGGCTTCGAGATTGTCACGCTGAATTTCAACGAAGTAAGATCGAGTACACTATCGGCTTACATTTAACTGATTTAATGTTTACCGTTCGGATATTGCTGTATACTTCGTTCAACGACTTTATAATCGAATATTCTTAAATCGATATACTGTCTTTCGATTGTTAAAGAGCAGAGAAATCTCTATTAAGCGACTGCTAAAATGATGATGAGTGCGATAGTAGAACTTTTATGCACTCTATAAAACTTGCTGCTACCAGATGAAGACAATTCTTTTAAAATATATCTATTATAGAATATTCCTAGATAAGGATTTTAAATTAACTAACTTTTTCTTATATTTTATTGTTACGGCCGTTCTAATTACCTTAAATATTGTACTTAAATTATTGCGTCTTATGATATTGGTAAGTAAAACCTTTATATCTATTATCTACGTTCATAACATAAAATAAATGCTACATTTCTATGGAAAGGGAAATGATGATACTTCAGAATTTATTGTAATAATGTCAGATTTATTCCGACGTACAATATCGACAAAGAAAAAGTTTGTGTGCAATGAAATATTGTACAAGTATTTGAAATACCTTTTCACTTTTACTCAGATAGTCATAAAACAAATAGGATTTCCTTTGACCGTAACATTCAATGACATGTTTAAAAGCCAAAATAATTCTTTACTTTAAAATCTCCAACTGCAGGTTAAATTTTAGCTGTACTTTGAATACAAAAAGTGACTTATTTGGTTTTGATAAAAAAAAGAAGGCATATTTGTAAATAATGTAGTTGTTAATGTAATTTAAAACCTTAAACTACTAGCGCCATCTCTGTTTAAGACATTGTAATGGCATTCTTCATTCAATAGCATTTCCCTGGCTAAAAGGTTAACAGAAATAGTATACCAGAAATTCAAAGGTATCTTAAAAAATACAAATCTTAGAAATCACTCAGTTACAATAAAATAAATGGAAACTTCAGCAACCCATAAGTAATGCTAGTTTTACAATAATTTAGGTACATTAAGTGTTTTTTATGTTGTTTTTTCGTATTTTTCCTTTTACTTATATTTATCCTTAGATTTAAATTAAGTTTTCTAATTGACCGAGTGTAAACATTACAGGTACAAGTACACGTTTTTTCTTCTTCTCTTCTGTAAAACTCTGTATTCTGTCTTAAGATTCATTAAAAACTGGCGCTTCGATGTACACCGCAGCACACACCGAATATTTTTTTTTCTTTTTTTGAAAAAACTAATTTCTCGCTTTCTTTCTTT